GCCCCTACCAGCTAGCAAAATTGGGGTAGAGGTTCCTACATGGGACATAGACTCAGCTCAGCCAGCTTGTGGAGACTCAGAATCCAACCCCATTCATCACACTGGCTTTGCTTTTTGGGGTTTTTTTTCTTCTGTTCTTGTGACTTTCTATGCTTTTTGCTTGTTTGTTTTTATCAGGCTGTGGGCCGTTCAGGACTCCCCGGCTCATCAGTCGAACCCCACTTGGACGTACCCCAGCACTTGCAAGTGGGAAAGCACCTAACTCCTTCAGGAGCTTCAGAGGAACCCAGTGACCTGGAGGAGCTGGAAAAGTTTGCTAAGACTTTCAAACAAAGGCGAATCAAATTAGGGTTTACACAGGTGAGCGGTATTGTGAATGAGAATGTTGATGTCACTTGTGACACGGACATGTGGGGCAGGGGAGTTTGTAGCAAAGGAGCGGATGGAGGAAGGGATAGATTAGACAGATTTTCTTCCTGGGAGCATCCCTTTGCAAATACCCTCTCTGGTATTTCATTACCATGACCTCATTATATGCACCTTTTTCAATATATGAAGGCTGGGGACTGTGGGGCAGACTCCAGGAGGAAGAGGAAATCACTCTCACAAAGGCGGGTCATGGAAAGTAGGCTGTATCTATTTGGAAAGTGATCTGAAATGTGTTCAGACAGTGGGAAGCTGTAAGGGGGCTTTCTCAGCTCATGTCGTGATTCAGATCCCCTCCGGCAGGGCGACGTCGGGCTTGCCATGGGGAAGCTCTATGGCAATGATTTCAGCCAGACCACCATTTCCCGCTTTGAGGCCCTCAACCTCAGCTTTAAGAATATGTGCAAGCTCAAACCACTGCTGGAGAAGTGGCTGAGTGATGCAGGTAGGTGACACTGCTATTTACAGAAATGCTGCTGATCTTGGCAAGCACGGGAGAGGATCCATCCAAGGACCTCCTATAAAAACCAGGAATATGGAGCTACGGCCTTTTAGCTCCCTGTGTGAGCTGGTCACAGACTGCTTTCCTCCGTGTATCACACAGCAGGTTGCATAAGAACCTAGATATCAAACCGCATCTGTCCTTTCACGGTAGTAATACAGGCTTCACGTTGCAGTTTGGTGTCTGGGGCAGTCCTTTCCCGCATCGGCTGACGGTCTGTTGGATGGCCTAGGGCAGTTCACTGGGCTAGTCCATTCAGTCCCTCCTTGTGTAAACTGGAAAGAGTAGGAAGGGGCTCCTTTCCTGATCAGCTCATCAGCAGTAATTAGAAAAGGAAGTTATTACTGCAAGGGGAATCCCCAGCAGCAACGCCATTGGCTTGGTATCCCACGGGCTGCAAACCGGCGGTAGAGTGGCAGTAGTCCCACATGCTTGACCTGCCCCTTACCTTTCATTCAGGAGTTACACATTTGACCAATTTATTATGTCAGGAGGTGTCTCAGCCACCAGAGGCTTGATCCCAGTGACGTGAGTCAAAACCTTTAACTGTGTGAAACTACATCATTTGAAAATGTATAGTGCGCAACAGAGCTGGCTGGATTAAAACGTTAGAACTCTCATTTTGTTTCCTGATTTGGACAAGATCATTGATCTGGGACTGTTGAAGCAATTTTAATAATATTCTCCCTCAGAGGAGTGTCCACAGTCTAGGAACCTTTTACTTATTTTAGGAGTGGCCACAGTTCCCAGGAAGGATCTAGGAATGAAAACAAGTGATGATCTTCTTCAAAATCACTTTTCCCATCCTTCTTTCTCCAGAATCTGCTCCTTTGGATTCTTCCATGAGCACTCCCAACTCCTACCCCTCAGTTAATGAGATGTTTGGACGGAAAAGAAAGAAGCGAACCAGCATTGAGACCAACATTCGTTCCACGCTGGAGAAAAGATTTCAAGATGTGAGGAGAAAATCTTTCAACGTGTTGTGAGCTTTCCTTCTGAGTCTGGCATTTGCCAAATCTGAGTAATAGCACTGAACCCTCAAAAAAGAGATTTCTTTTTTTCTCCTTGTGATAGCTGGTTAGAAAATGCTTGAAAGGGTTAACGGGAAAAGTCAAAGCAAAGATATCAAGCTCAGTTATTTCCTTAGTGAATGTTGTTTTGAAGGAATTGCAGTTTCATTGCCACACTTCCCTGTTCTCTTCCACTGATTGGTGCCCTGGTTCAAAGCGGATCTCATAGCGCACACCAGCCTCTTCTCTTTGTGACTTAAAGTTGTTTGTCATGGGACCTGGGTGGCTGTGGTGCATCACAGGAAATGGAGGCCCCGTTAAGCAGGTCTTGTGCGAGCTTAGAGGGACCAGAACTAGTTACTCCAGGTGGTGCTACTGAATCGTTTCAAACTTGGGACCTTTTACTGTTCAAGAACCCAGATTTTCAAGGGAAATTGCAACAGAGAGCAAACAGGGCTTTAAGTTAGCAAAACTAAATCACTCATTGAAAATTTTTCATCAAAATTCATTCTGACCAGCCCTCACTTTTTCTGGGTTTCTCCCTCATATCTGATCAAATTGAACGTTCCTTTGAAAGCTGTTAATGAGAACCAAAGACAACCTTTGCCAGATCATTATGGATACCTCATTTATAGCTACTATGAAACGTTCTTTGCAAGGGGAAATATGTTTTGGCATCTCACTGCTAGGTGTCTTTCTCCCGTCAAGTCTCCAACACAGATCAAAATCCATAGAGCTAAATACTATTAAACACGCCAGAAAATAAGTGAGTTAAAAAAGGACAGGTGCTATTATTTGCATTTATAAATGAGGGAGGGATGGAGGAAGAAAGAGAGGAAATGGCTGCTCTGAGATGGTTCAGGTACGAACAGTGCCCAGAGCTCACATGTCCTATATGGTCATAGCAAGGCCAGCAGTCAGCTTGAGCTTTCCCTCAAGCCTGAGCTTTCCCTCAAGCAATGGTTGAGGGTGCTGTTAAGATCAAAGAGCTTGGTGCTTTATGCAGTAACAGGGCCAGGAACAGTGATTCGTCACCATTGATTTCATGAGACTTTATGCTGAATAAGAGGCACTTTCTGGTTCACAGAACATAATCTCTCACCTAAATATTTACTCTTTGCCTTAGAAGCAAATTTTCTCCCTTCAACCTCACTCTTTTTCTCCTGCCTTTCAAGCAGCAGAAGCATCCATTGATGCTGTAAGTTGGAGCTCTTCAGGCCTTTCTTTAACCTCATGCCCTTTCTTAGCAGAACCCCAAGCCCAGTTCAGAGGAGATCTCATTAATAGCAGAGCAGCTCTCCATGGAAAAGGAGGTGGTTCGGGTCTGGTTCTGCAATCGGCGCCAGAAGGAAAAGCGGATCAGCTGCCCGATGCCATCCCCCATTAAATCACCCATCTACAATTCCAGACTGGTGAGAGACGTTGGACTAAGAGGATCTACTGGCTATCCTAGACAAGAAGGGAAAAGGGTGGGGGGAGACACCAGGGCTTGCTTCAGGAGGAAACAAGGCAAGACATTTCCTTGTGGGCACAGGTCCCTGCATTCTTGCACACCCATCCCACAGTCCAGCGGGCGAATACAGCTGCAGCAGTGGGTAGGGATGCAGCTGAGCTTGCCGAGGATTGGGAATATGCTCAGCATCCCAGTCTGACTGGAGTCTCATGGCTTCATTGACAGAACAGAATTTTTTATTCTCATAATGAAAACAGTAGAAAGAAAACACAAGTTTCTCAGAACATACAAATCACTCTAATTATAGGCTAATTTATCCAAGCAGGAGTGCCATACCAAAATATTTAGCCTTAAATAAAAGCTTTTCAAATAAATAAAATAAAAAATAAAAGCTTTTCAAAACTAGTGGCGGAGAAATCAGCCTTCTAAGGAATGAGAAAGACATCCAGTCATCTCAGTAGGGTGGTTAACTCTGAAACCTAACAGCTGTCCCGCAGTTCGTTGTTTTGCATCTGTGCAGAAACACAGAATACGCTTCAGTAGCATTATTTGTCCTTTTCATGTGTTATATATTCATGTTTTGATGAGCATATTTTCGTTGCCAGGAAGGATCAGGAAAAGAGAAACTGCTGTAGGAGTTAGTGAAAGGGTGCCCTTGTAATTTACTGACAGAGTGGCTATTGTGGATAACAAGCTACTGTTGTGTTTCTGCTAGTGAATGGGTTTCTTCCACGTATAAAGGTAATAGAAACCTCTCTGCAGTGTTATTGGTGCTGGAGCACATGTGAATGGTAGGGAGAGTACCTACTCGCAAGTGATATTTTATCTTGGAATCTTCTGAGTTCCTCACGCATACTGTGCAACAAGTGGACGAGTGGTCCATCAGAAGGTAGGCAAATATCACAAGAACCTTGGGCACTTGTTGCATAACACATTTGGCCTAGAGTTGAAAAAACAAAATGCTGCCGGCAAGCCATGAATTTTTAAAGCAGTAGCTTGAGTGAATAGTTTTCCCGTGACTGTGTCATATGAAGTATGCGCTTGTTCATCAGTCACTCTGAGCAACGCGTCACACGTAGAGTACCACAGTGGAACAACAGGTGCCCCAGGCTCACCTTGATGACAGCCACCCAGTTACTAATTGTGACCTGAGAATTCTCACCCATTAAGGTCTCCTCAGAGGAACAAATGAAAAGCAATTATTGTTGCCCAGGACCAGGGTAAGCTCTGTGTTTCTGGCTGAGAACATCCAATCTGAAATATTGAAAAAGCAGTGCCTCCTACCAGCTGGGCCACAGCACTTCCAAAAGGTTTGACTTGGATTTGACAATATCAGGCTTTTCTTAGCTGAGCCATAAATTCAGGCCTGCGTAGAGAGTGCCGGGCATGTGTATGACTCATTCTGGTTTCTTTGCAAGGGCCAGGACTTGTGCATGTGCGCTGCAATATGGCTAGAGGTATATGTGGGAGTTCCAGAATTATGCAGATAAGAAATCTGTCCGGGAGCCAGCACACTCGAAAGGGAATGTGCAAGGAGAGTCGTCTTGTGGTCCGTAGCCTCATAGTGCCAGCTGCTCACTGTTTGCTTCTGTTCCTCTCCAGGTCTCTACCTCAGGGTCCTTGGGGCCCCTCTCCGTCAATCCAGTGCATAGCACCATGCCTGGGACTGGTAAGCCATGACAAACCAGCCTCACATCCCATTTCCTTCCCTCTTTGCTTTGCTCTTGCTCTGTGACCGGTTAGTTTCTAAGCCACGATTACAGGCTACTCTTAATAAGGCCCTTGGGTCTGGCCAGAGAAAATAGCCCCACATAACTGGTACACAGGGGTATGAACGGCCATGTCTCTCTTGTCCGGAAGAAGGAGGTGGAAAGCTTCCTGGACACAGTATTATTCCCAGGATAATCCTAGGCAAATTTTACTGGGATGTTTAGGTCTGGGAGCCAGGGACACCTAAAATCCAAACAGGAGGAACGTTTTGGGGGTAGGCTACTGCAGTTCTTCAGCAGAGCACTGGCAGAATCTCCTCCTGGAGGGACAATGCATTCTGATAGAAATCACCCGCTACAGGGAGGGCAGTCCTGGAGACCCCTGCTCACTCCGCAGTCAGGGCACAGATTCAGCGTCCTTGCTGCTGCAGGGCGGGCAGTGAATCAGGACAGCAATGGGACGGATACAGGATGGTGGGAGTGCTTGGGCTGTGGCAGGAAAGGAGAGCCCAGCCTCACTCTGCTTTCTCCTGCTACACAGTAACATCCTCGTGTTCCCCTGGGAACTCCAGCAGGCCCTCGTCCCCCGGCAGTGTGCTCCACGCCAGCAGCCCCAGCACAGCCCAGAGCAACTCCAAAGCTGCAATGAACTCATCCGGTTTCAACTCTTCAGGGTAAGGCAGCAGGGTCTCTAGCTTACTCCTTGGCAAGGACGTTGGAGGGCTGGGGAGAGAAGCAAGGGGACCTCAGAGAAGGACATCTGGGCCTTAGATACTAGAGTGATAAGGAGCTACGTGGTGCCGTGCTATTACATGAAGTTTCACATCTAAACTGAAGTTTCTTGGGAAACAGCTGTTTTTCTGCTTCCAGGTAAATAGAAAATCCAGTTTTGCCTGCAATATTGAGCTACTTTTAAAAACAAAAAAAAGTCTGGGTAGAAGAGCATAAGAGCTGTTCTAAACTAATTCCTTGTCTGGAGGAAGCAGAGGAAGCCTTATTTTGCTGTTTCTTTTTAGATAGCCTTCTCCACAGCAAGGTTTCTCTCCTGCAGTGCCATCCAGAGGCACTGTCACAGAGTAGTAAGTCCACAGTGGCAGATGAAACAGGAACGATGAGTTTCTTCTTTAGAAGAAAAGAAGCATCTTCTTTAGATGCTACAAAAGCATTAAGCCGCGTATACGGGCTCAGAGCCCTTCAAGCTATTCCACTGAACGTGTGTCTGCCATAGTCTGTGCTGTTGAAGCCTCTCTGTATTTGTAGTTTCTGCTGCTCACTGCACCTGACATCAAGGATGCTATGTTAGTAGAAAATCAAGAGTAGAGGGCGTTACCTGTTGCCGCTGGCCTTTCTGAGTCATGGATATAGTCCTGTGCCATGAGTCAGACCTCCTCTTATGTGGAAGAAGTCCAACAGCCACGTAGCGTGTGAAGTCACAAGCACATTGGAAGGTGTCGCTTAGAAAGACAGGGGGCTTGCTGTGAGCTTCTTATAGGAGCAAAAGGTCATTTGCTGACTGCCAATTCTAAGTAGGCTTGCAAACAGAATAACGATTTTTATTTCAAGGGAAGAAGTTAACAGTACGGCAATTGTAGCTCTTATTCCCTGTGTTGCAAACAGATCTTGGTACCGATGGAATCAACCTACCTACCTCCACTGAGATGACTCCTCCATCATGCGTAAAAGGAGCTCTGACTTCAAGCTATGGACCAACTTCTCTAGGAGCAATGCTTGGGGCAACATCTGGCGTTCCAGTGCCTTCAAAATGCAGCCCAATGAAGGTCTTGTTTAGGGGAACCCAGAGCAGCAGACCTCTCCAGGGACTCAAATTGCAGCTGACTTTCCCCAAGGATTCTCAACACCAACAGTGACATTTTAATACTCTTCCAGGCATTCACTTCAAGAATGATCCCTTGCTTAGCACTAGTAGCATGAAACACTGCCCTCTGCTTGCAAATCTCTGCATTCACACCGGATTGCTCGGCAATCTCTAATCTGGAAGGATTTCTATGTCATGACTGTCTTTTCCCTTCACTCATTGCAGAGTTTCCCATAAGAAGGGTCTATCATGATGTTACTATCACGCACACGTTCCATAAACCCCCAAACTGAGCCGAGGTTACCCAGTTCATTTCACCAGAGACCTGCGTCTAGATGTGAGCCTTGGTATTGAATAGACTTCCAAGGCACTGTGCTTTATCCACCACCAAACTTGCTTTGCTTTAAGCCCTTCTGCCCTGTTTCTAAGGTTATTTCATTCTCTTTCTTTTTTTTTTTTTAAGTATTTTAGAGCCTTCTAATTTTTCCCTTAAAAAAAAAAGATTGCCTCCTTTTGCAAAATTTGTGTCCAAGTCTTGTTATTGTTCACAGCTAGCCTCACTCCCGCTGAGGATGTCACTGTTTGAAACCTTTGGGTGAACTTCTGACTCCGCTGAACACAAAAGCAAATTGTGTTGATTTGATGGGCCAAGGATTAGTCTTGACCCTCCCTCTTTTATTTATCTATGGGCTTTATCTGATACCAAACAAAAAACAGCCTCTCTGGAGGAGAGGCGGGCATGTGTTCTGGTTTTTCCTGAATTGTCAGTAAGGTACGAAGCTTGCCTGTTCTGTGCAGCGTGCCCTTCCATTCCTGGGAGGATGCCTTGTATTGCTCAGGTGTGAATCTTGGAGTGTGTGCGTAAGTGTTTCTTAATGTCATGAGACACCAGAGTATCTGAAACTTCAACTTTCACAGCATATTGCCAGGGAAATTGTGGTTATTCTTCAGCTCTCCTCTCAAAAAGTGGCAGATATTTAATTTTGTTAAAATAGACTTGAGTAATACAAATTCCCGGTCAGGTTGTCAATGGGCACAAGTAACTAATTCCGTGGAACTAGAGTAAATGAGTATCTGGTTCATAGGGTGTAAATAGACATTTTTTAGTAGTAGTCTTTTTTTCTGATGGCTTTTTTTTTACTTAAATGCGAGCTTTTTTGGGGGGGGGTTGAGGAAAAATTATCCTTTGTCACTTCTTTGAGGGAAAAAAATGTATTTGATTCCATTGTTTCTTATCTACTTGTCCAGTTGTGAAATTATTGCCATAGTGATTCTGTGGGCGTTCAGAGTTTCGCAGCTACCTTTATACAAAATATCAGCCCCGGAAATGCATAGTATTTAGAGCTACATTTTTTGCTTCACGTGAGGTTTCTTTATAAAATCAGACACTGGTAACAATGAGGGAGGACTGAAAAAGATAAGGTAACATTTCTTTAAGAAATGGAAATTAAAAAAAAATATTTTTGTTTTTTAATATTAAATCATTTTTTAAAAATTCTAATGCAAAAAAGGGACAAACTGTATTTCTGTTTCCTGAATTTCCCCAGCCATCTCCCCATTTACCTCTAACTAAAATACTTACATCATAACCTTTTTTTAGCAGAAACATAAAAATGAAATGAAACCTTTTTTTTGCAACAGAATCTGTTGTGACTAAAAAAGGAAAAACATTTTATGTTTGGAGAGGAAGAAATGTAGGTGGGAAGTGTTCATCTAACTCATCTAATTGCCAAGGCCCTTCTCTCAGCTATTAATTAAATTGTCTTACATGCTTAGAGGGTCAGTTTCAAGCCTTGTTCTCCATTGCTTTCTGATTTTATTTACGAATGCGGAACAATTGATTTGAATATAATTGTGCTAAAGCTAGGCTTTGGTAGGTTTGGTACAGATGAGATGGAGCCCAGTGTCTAGACTTATGTCGGTGGGTTTTCCTGGCAGATTTCTTAAGGTTCCCAGTACCATCTATAACAGGGACGTCCTTGTGAGAACTGCATTCTACAGTTGGGGTGGCAGGACTTACAAAAGATACCTTTTTTTTTTTGTCCCTACGGCATAGCTTAATCACAAGATTCTTTAGGAAAAAAACAAATTCTCCCCCAGCCAAGGAAATGATACTACGACAGCATTTTAGAACAGCTGTGCTACAACAACGGCATTTAAACTCCGCTGGTTGTTCCCTGCCTGGGTCAGCCGTAGGGACTGATCACGCAAACGCGCACTCCCTGCGTGAACTTGCCCCTGTCCTTTGCCCCCACGGGACTTCTTATAGTGGTAGGTTCCCAGAAGGAGCTCAGGCGGGCCCTGAAGAAGGGATCAGCGGGGTAGACGGAGCGCCTCTCTCCCCGCGTACCTCTCGGGGCTGCCGCTGGGGTCTCTGGGCCTGCCTGGATCCCTTCTGCCGCAGGCGTTATGTGATCCAGCTGTCCCCACCGCTGGCTCTGCCTCTCTGGAAAGCTTGCATCATCTCTGCTGGACACTAACGCTGGAAGACCTCTATAAATGCACTCATGTATACACCACCAAGGGTTGCTAATAGCTTTTATTCACATACAAGATCTTTGTTACTGAGAGTAACAAAGAGTTTTACGTGAATCATTTCCACTGATTTCACACAAACAGCTGATTTAAACTGGCCGGGTGGCTGGTGGCTGCTTTTAATGCAGGAGAGGAAGGGTTTCAGTCTAAGTTTTCCAACTGGAGCTAGCCATAAAGTATTGGCTAGCCATTATAACAACCCTTTCTCTAAAGAGGGGCAGCATAATCCTTGTCTGAGATGCGGCAGTGGTCAGTACAAAGGAGAACAGAGTGTCTCGCTGCTGCGTGTTGAGGGTGTCATCCTACCCAGCAGTGACAGCAGCACAGCTGGGGTGTTTCTGCTGAGTTCGGTGGGATGGGACTAAGGGACACGTACTAAAATGATGCAGGGAAGGAGGAACAACGGTAACCAAATCTGCAGAAAATTGTTTTCCTTTTTAACTAAAACATGCTAATGCACCAAACAAGCCCTTCCAGAGCTGTGTTTCTCTTTTAACTGGTCTAAAAGATTAGAAGAAAGAAAGTAGATTTTCTACATGAAAATTTAAATTCCTAGTTAAAAAAAAGATCTATCCAGAAAACAAAGCACTGACCTGTCCTGGAGTGTGGGGGGAGAGGTTTCCTTTCCTGTCCCTTAGCTGGGATGGGATGAACCACGCAGGGCTCTAAGACAAGCCAATATGGATTGATGACTCAACCGTACCTGCCAAGGCTGCATCCTGCGAGGTACGTTGCTGTGGGCTTGCGTCCTTGGAGAAGAGATGTTGCAGGTCACAAATGAGGGGTGTAGGTTACAAATGGCAAATTCATAACCCATCCCTCAAGGAGCTGCCTTTGCTCTGAGGCCTTTCCTTCAAACGCCTCCCTCGCTGAGCTCAAACTCCTGTGAGGGGCCAGCCAGCAGCCACAGGAGGAAGATGAAGGCTGGAACAGTTCAGCAATGCGTTTTCGTGCCAGACTGAGAGGTGATTTGCACGTGACCATCCTGAGCGCTCTGCAACCCTGCGAGTAAAGTTAGCAGGATCTGGCTTCTGACCAAACAACAGCCCTGGCCAGGGATGAAGAAGAGAGATGTCTGGCTCTGCCTCTGTCATTATAAAGACCCTCTAAGAAGCTCCCAGAGTTAGCAATAATATTATGATACTTGTTTATGATCCTTATTCAAAGCCAACTCCACATGAAAAAGATGCTCAGCTAGCATGAAGGACTCACACCAGCCCCTTCCTCCCAAGATGCAGACTTTCTTAAAATTAATACCCTACTGCATAATGGAAACAAGTGCCTCTCAGGATGGCATACAGCTAGGACAATGGTTTTTTATTTGTATGGTTTAAATTCTGGCTATTATGAGTATTTAAAGGCTAACAGATAGGAAGAATGAACTTATACCACAAATCTGAACCTTGGGACACCTGGCCTTATTTTACAGCTTATTCCCCCACTTCCTGTGTGACCTTGGGCAAATCACTTAATCCCTATTACACAATAGCAAAGATAATCCTTCCCTTCTCCCAGGCCTCAACGCATGCCAAGTAGTATCGTTCATGTGATGACTGTGACTGAGGGTGTGATTACACCGACCCCAGGCAAAGCTCTATCTTCCAGCTCATTTAGATCTGTGAAAAATCTAGAACTATTTCATAGACTAACACTATTGATTTAAAAACTCAGAAGTGACTATTTTGATGGCCTTTACATCCCCAGCCTGCAAAATTTACCTGATAATTTCTGTATCAATCCAATATCTGTTATCTGGGCTGTAACTCAGCTATTGATTTCAGGGACAGTTGACAGACAGCCTGCTAAAACCTGCTGTAAATGCTCCCAAAGGCTTGTGAGCCTCTTTGTAAAAAAAGACCAAAAATAAAATTGTGAAAGGCAAGTTACTATTTACAGTAATAATTTCTAAGTTACTGTAAACATATGCATTTTTATAATATAAAAAAGATATGTTAAGATCACAATCTGGCTCCAAAGTAGTGAGGATGATTCCATTTCATTTTCAGAACTTCCTCTAATTGGTTTGCTCACCACAGCAGCACTGAGTAAACCTGGGAAGATGATTTCTGAAAGCCAGGGAGGGAAATCGCAAATGTATTAAACGCTGGGTAATAGCATCTGCCCGTTTGTACTGCAGCCGAGACCAAAGCCAGGCCGCGCCAGGTGCTGCGCAAACACACCACAAGAGCTGACATACACTGACAAGTTTACAAATACAATAAAGTGGCTCTCAAGTTTATTGATAAACAGGTCCTGATTGGGAAAACATACACTAGCAGCTGCTGTTTGGCCACGCGCTCGTTTCACAAAGAGCTGCAGTTGCGAGGGAAACGTCTGTGTTCCCCTGTTTCTAGGAATAGGTCCAGTCTCACGGCAGCAGCGGCAAGGGATACAAAAAATACGGGGCAGGAAATTCCAGCTTTCCAAGTCTTTGAGTCACCTCCCACGGCATAAAGTAGCAACGCAGGGAACAATTGCTCGCAGGCAGCCGTGCCTGGCAGAGGCTGTAAGAACACGCACCATCTCCTGAACTACCCGATCTGCTGCAGAAGAAGCCCAAGTGCCTGAAACCAGCCTCTAACGCTGTCTGTCCAGCTCTTCCCTTCAAGAAGAGTGCCTCCACCTTTAGGACTCAAGCATCAGTGACATGAACGCCAGAAGAGGGTGAAGAGCCTGCTCTCCCTGTCCAAAAACATCTCTGTGGGCACCATCCCTATTGCTTGTGAGTATAAGGGCAGCAGCCCCTATCATTTCTTTTTTTTAATCTGTGTTCTGATCACTCACAAGCTCTCTGGTGAGCCAGAACCAGTTTAGCTCCAAATTCAAATTAAGGGCATGATATGCTTTTGCAAGTTACAGTCTATCAGTAAAATTCACGTTGTTCCTACTCATCTCAGCCAGAGGCAACTGAACTGGTTTCCTCAGAATACAAGAGAGAGAAGAGCCAGGAGCGTTTGTCCCTGTTTGCAGGTGCTAGAATATGCATAGGAGATGCTAAAACCAGATATTAACGACTGAAAACAAAGGTGACTTTTCCATATAACTGCTATAGCAGCTCCAGAGCTCTGAGCGAGCTTGCAAAAGAGGCAGGAAGGGGGTTATCAGGAGCGAGAAGGTCGTGCCCTGATACTTCCACGATGTTTAACAGCGCCTGAGTTCGTGCAAGGCTGGGAAAGGCAGGAAAAATGGAACAATTTGCTATTGGTATTTTGTTTCTTTTATTGTTCATTCCCCTTCTTTTTCCCCCCAGTTTCCATCTGTGAGAAGACTGATTGCAAGTTGGGAGCACGGGGTTCTGCTCCTCACCCTTCCCAGGCTTCTCTGTGGCCTGAAGGAAGTCTTCAAGCATTTTTAAGTGTTTAAATGCTCCCATCAAGTGCCCTCACCATTCCTGAAGCGCACAGCCCTGGGGCTTACCTTCCCGGCAGAACTGGCATAGATCCTAATACTCCTACATGACGCCTTCGGTAGCGGAGCTTAAATTTAGGCTCACTTTTACAGAGCCTAGTAGCTTAAGCCCTCAATTAAGGACTACTGCCAGAGCTGAAGTGGGACCCCCTTTCTCTGTGCCCTTCTCTTGCCTGCCCGATCTGGGGGCTTGTTACAGAGTAGGGGCCAAAATGCTGGTAAAGGGGAGAAAATCAGGAAGTTTTCACCTGGCTACAACCGTATAACCTACAGTCTAACTAGAAGCACATTTTAATCAGTTAGCAGAGCTTTCGTAACACACAGAAATATACTATGAAGTGCAGTGCACACAGTGGACCTCAGTGGCCTTAGATCAGGCCTCTCTCCAGCTCTGAGTGGTTGCTTTCACCCTCTGCGTAGAGCTCTTTGACCACAGGGGAGGCTTGGGTTTGTTTGCAACACATCATTTCCTTTAGGTAGTTTTTAAAGCCAATTGAATAAACAGAAATTACACGGTATCGACGGCGAGTTCACTGTGCCAACTCTCAACTTTAGGCCTGCTGGAGAGACTTCTGCTCTTTGCCTTCACGTGGAGAGCGATGGCAAGAGCGGGCTGCCAGCGTTCCCCGGACGAGCCGTGTGCGAAGGGCTGGCTGCTGACTGCCCACAGCGGAGCAGCTGGTCGCCCCCGGTTTGCAGGAAGCATAGCCCTTTCCTGGTTACTCATCCCTGCCTCTCTGGGCCCTGGTTCTCCGCTGTTCGCTCTTCCTGTTCTGCATGTTCCCAGTCACATCTCCCTACACATCCCTCACCACTCCTCATGCCTGACCAGTCCCAAACTCACAGGCTCTTATCTCAGTCTCCTCCTTCCCTCTTTGCATTCGGTGCAGGCCAACACACAGGCGGTCGCCAGGAGCCCACCCACCAGGTCTTTGTTCAAAACCAGACACAAAACTCGAAAAAAGAGGACTCCGGAGTGATTTTTTGTTTTCTCTCTCTCT